CTGCACCCTGTAGTTTTTTCTTCTCTGCACCCTGTAGTTTTCTTCTCTGCACCCTGTAGTTTTCCTTCTCTGCACCCTGTAGTTTTCTTCTCACCACCCTGTAGTTTTTCTTCTCTGCACCCTGTAGTTTTCCTTCTCTGCACCCTGTAGTTTTTCTTCTCTGCACCCTGTAGTTTTCCTTCTCTGCACCCCGTAGTTTTCCTTCTCTGCACCCTGTAGTTTTCCTTCTCTGCATCCTGTAGTTTTTCTTCTCTGCACCCTGTAGCTTCCATTTCTGCTGCCACCCTATTTCATTTTAACATAAATACATCTAATGACATGTAAAGATGTTTATATTAACGAATATCTGGTCACAGTTTTAGGAAAACCTTAGGCTCCGGGATATAAGGAGGAATTGGAGGGGTAGGAATCTAGGACGGGTAGGACCGAGGAGGGATAGGACTGATGGAGGAGTAGGATTGAAGGAGGGGTAGGACTTTAATACGGGTAGGACTATAGGAGGGGTAGAGCTGTAGGAGAGTAGAACTTTAGGAAGAGTAGGACTGAAAGAGGGAGGACTGTAGGAGGGGTAGGACAGTAGGAGGGGTAGAACTGTATACGAGGTAGGACTGTAGGAGGGGGAGGACTGTAGGAGGGGTAGGATTGTAAGAGGGGGAGGACTGTAGTAGAAGTAGGACTGCAGGAGGGGTAGGACTGTAGGAGGGGTAGGACTGTAGGAGGGGTAGGACTGTAAAAGGGTTGGAAAGTAGGAGGGGTAGGACTGAAGGAAGAGTAGGACTGTAGGAGGGGTAGGACTGTAGGACGGGTAGGACTGAAGGAAGAGTAGGACTGAAAGAGGGAGGACTGTCGGAGGATTAGGACTGAAGGAGGGGAGCACTGTAGGAGGGGTAGGACTGTAGGAGGGGTAGGAATGTAGGAGGGGTAGAACTGTATACGAGGTAGGACTGTAGGAGGGGGAGGACTGTAGGAGGGGTAGGATTGTAGGAGGGGGAGGACTGTAGTAGAAGTAGGACTGCAGGAGGGGTAGGACTGTAGGAGGGGTAAGCCTGTAAGACGGTAGGACTGTAAAAAGGTTGGAATGTAGGAGGGGTAGGACTGAAGGAAGAGTAGGACTGTAGGAGGGATAGAACTGAAGGAAGAGTTGGACTGTAGGAGGAATAGAACTGAAGGAAGAGTTGGACTGTAGGAGGAATAGAACTGAAGGAAGAGTTGGACTGTAGGAGGAATAGAACTGAAGGAAGAGTTGGACTGTAGTAGGGATTGAAAGTGAAGGAAAGAAGATAGAGATCGCGCAAACGATAGTAAGTGAAGATACAGGGAATAGAGGGGAGAAAACAGTTTCACAATTAATTGAGTGAAGATAGAGGAAGGAAGAAGAAGTCAAAGAGAAGGAAGATTGGAAGAAAGTCAAATAGAAGAGAAGGTAAGAAGGAATGGGAATGATGGGGAGAGAGAATGAAAGTCGAGTAGTGGGAAAATTAAGTTTATTTATCTATTAAGACACTGAAGAAATCTACCTTTATTTAAATAAACTCAAGAAATCAGCCTGACATTATACAAACATATTGAATAAATAGAATGAGAGCCAATCAATGGAATATTATTAACTTTTAGTGAATTCGTGCTGAAATCTGCCCAAACCTTGCCATTTTATAAGCACTTGAACTGTTTAATTTTATGGTTGAAATTATAGTCTTGGATTGGTATAATTTCCTTCACTTGCTAACTCAACAGTTGTCTGACTTCAGCCTTCAGGCAGTGTATCGTTAACTCATGGGACAGGGGGGAAGGGGGGGTATAAAGTATGAAGGGGGAGGGGGGTAAATACGGCCGGATGAGTGGATCCTATGGGGCACGTGTTCCTATTCTTTCCAGCCTGCAAAATATTCATTTTTCTTCCACAAGTTCTGATTATAGACGCATAATTATTTATCTGATATAGATTTGCATTTTATTTTTCAAGTTATATTCTCACATAGAACGAATTGTATATAGTTTATATTTTACAACCTCCCCCCAGCCCCCTCCAACCGTATTTTATATCTGTCAGGTCTCGTAATTAGCGCTCCTCCTATTGTAAATATAACAATAAAGTTGGATCAAAACGTTCAGACGAACTATGGCCGGACGGGACTAATATTTTAGAAACTACAACTTAGCTCAATATATATATATATGGATATATTTATATTTGCAAAATATTTTAAAAATAACCAGGAGAATAACCATAACAATAATAACAACAACAACAATAATAATAATATAATAGTTATAATAATAATAATAAAATGAAAATGTCGATAATTTTGTGTACCCATAACTCTAGTAATAATAATCAATCTAATAATCTGAAGAATTTGATTTCCAAGTTCTTCTATATTTCGTGATATTTCTATATTTTATATTTTATATAAAATCAGATATTCTGGACAAGTAACTCGGGAGCAGAGACTGGTCTGAAGCCTGTTTTCTTCTCTACAGAAGCGCCATAAAAATCCTTGCAAATATATTTTCTGCGATGGAGCGAGTTATTTGCACATTTTGCAAAAGGGTCAATTTTATTTTAACCTTTGTCCTGCATACTGTTCCTAATTCAGTTCAGTTCAGTGTAAAGATAGAAACAATTAAAATTAGAAAAAAGTTGATGAAAGATTGAAAAATAAAATGATGATAAAAAAGATGGATATAAAAGGAGGTTAAAAGAACCGAAAGTGGATAAAAGAATAAGAATGTGGAATAAGAATAGAAAGTGGATATAAGAATAGAAATTGAATAGAAGAATAGAAGGTGGATAGAAGAATAGAAAGTGAATAGAAGAATAGAAAGTGAATAGAAGAATAGAAAGTGAATAGAAGAATAGAAAGTGAATAGAAGAATAGAAGGTGGATAGAAGAATTGAAGTTGAATAGAAGAATAGAAAGTGGATATAAAAAAAGAAGGTGGATATCAGAATAGAAAGTGGATATAAGAATAGAAAGTTGACATAAGACTATAAAGTGGATAGAAAAATAGAAAGATGGATATAAGACTATAAAGTGGATATAAGAATAGTAAGTGGTTATTGGAATAGAAGGTGGATATATAAATAGAAAATGGATAGAATAGAAAGTGGATAGAAGAAAATAAGGTGGATATAAGAATAGAAAGTGCATAAAAGCATAAGAATGTCTAAAGGGGAAGAAAGGAGGAGAGGATGGATTTTATTTTTGAGTTTAATTTTCCAAATTACTGGTTAAAACTGACCAACTTAAATTGAGCTGTACGGTTCAGTTTTTACTATGATGTTCGTTACAAATATAAAATTCTTCGAAGAATAATAAATAAGGAAGAAAAAACTTGTCTGAACCTGGAAATTAAATCTAAACCTTAAACTGCAATTTGGAACCAATTAGAAACACGCAACCATACATCAGGGAAACCCTTAGAACCCTTACTTTTACTCCTAGATACTGAACCATATCCTCCAATATGTATTTACTCCTAGATACTGAACCATATCTCCCCATTTGTATTTACTCCTAGATACTGAACCATATCCTCCAATATGTATTTACTCCTTGATACTGAACCATATAATCCAATATGTATTTACTCCTAGATACTGAACCAAATCCTCCAATGTTTATTTACTCCCAGATACTGAACCATATCCTCCAGTAATTATTTACTCCCAGATACTGAACCATATCCTCCAATATGTATTTACTCCCAGATACTGAACCATATCCTCCAATGTTTATTTACTCCTAGATACTGAACCATATCCTCCAATAATTATTTACTCCCAGACACTGAACTATATCCTTTATATTTAAGATATGATTATGAACACCTAGATACTGCGTCAAACTTTACAATGTAATAAACCTTTTATTTAACCCATAGATACCCTCTAAACATCATATAAACAGCAACAAGGCATTAATGCGTAAAGCAAGTCATTTTAGAAATGTCTTAATACTGGGAAGGTTTAAGGAAAACGTAGGAAAGGGATGAAATTGCACATTTTCGATGTGTTATTTTAAATCTAGAAATAACAAATATAAAGTAACTTGAGGAACTTCTATCATTTTACTATTATTTCAAACTAATGAGTTAGTTTATAAAAGATAAATTTTCTCAAAATCTTGAAATGAATCGTTATAATTTTCTAGGGTTATTTATGTTTTAATAAAAAATACGATTTCTCTTTTAAAAAATTGGTTCTCCATAACAGAGGCTCATGATTTCTTGCTGCAGAAACAATGGAGAAAATTTTGAGAATTAAAAACTTTAAAATCTAGGAAAAAGACAGCATCTAGGTTTAAAGGATAACGTTGTAAATAGCGGGTAACTTAAAATTACAAAGACAGTCCCTTTAAAAAGGGAGTGTTCGCGAAAAACGAAAGAGGGTACAGGCTTACTGCGAAAATTAAGCGCTTTTGATCGCTACTAAACTTACTTCTATTTGTTTTGTCTATGAGGAGGAAATTGTTAAAAACGACTCATGCTGACGCCACGTCCATACTAATTCAGAAAGTTGCAACATTCATCTCGGATCGTAAAATAATCAATTTAATTCCAATCAAATCATTCCATCATAACTTTCCGAATTAAAATTGTATATATAAATAAAACGTAATATTTATAAATGTATTTAGTCTTTATTAAATTTATCAAAATATCGGTATAATCACAATAAATCCATTGTCGTCTACTGATCGAAAACAAAACATTTTTTGGTTTCGAAATAATTTTTGATTTGAACATTAATCAGAAGCTCTGATTCTGGGGAGGAGCTGAAGAAAGACTGATAATACTAAGAACAAACATCCTCCCCAAACATTAGTTGAAAATTACGAGTTGTCAAACCCTTTTAATGAACCTAAGAGTAAACAAAAGGAACATAAAAATTTACAAAAAGAACAGATAAAAAATCAAAATGGCACAAAATGTTCACAAAACAACGAAGATCAAAAGGTTGAAATTAAAAAATATAAAAAATGCCCGAAAATTAAAATTTAAGCTGTAGCCGCGGATTCCTTCTTGAAATCCTGAGATCCTCGATGAAATCTTTTCACGTGTACATCAATATTAACCACCACTTTTTGGCACAGAGGACACACGGGGTTATTCTTCAAATGCAGCGCGTTCTTGTGTCTCTCCATATTCCGCTTTCGGGGAAATACTTTGTTGCAAACATCACAGGGAAACTGACCTCTCTTCCCTTCATGGATTTCGGAAATGTGAACTCGTAAGTTTTTGGTGTTCCCGAAGAATTTATTACACACGCCGCACATAAATTTAGTAGGGGGCGTCTCTACTACCGGTCTGTTCTCCTTACTACTCGCTAATGAGGGAAGCAACAATTTGGGTTGCTTGCTCGGAGAATTGGAGAGGGGCGTTCCAGACCGTTTAGGTGATCCAGTAACCAATCCAGGGGTACCTGGTGGAAGGGGAGTAGAAGTGCATCGTAGGTTTGGGGTTGAAGTTGGGCAGGAGAAGGGGGTTGAGGTAGCAGAAGGATAAAGGAGTGGGGTGGATACTGGAGCAGGAGAGGTGATCAGATTGTATAATCCTGTAACAGGATCCTGAACCAGTTGAGCCATAGGAGAGGACCCGGAGCTAGAGGTCGAAACTACGTTGATATTGGAGGATGAAACTGGGGTTTGGGATCCCGCAGGGGGTTGAGTAACCACAGGGGTTTGAGATATTAATGATGGTTGGGACGTAACGGTTGATTGAGCTGACATGGGATTGGAATAGATGGGAGTAAGGTTGAGGGAGCTGCTTGAACAAGATTGGAGCTGAGATATAGAGCAGTTTGTGGCCTGAACTTGCGGAACTGAGCAGCTAGAAGTTTGAAACTGTGGTAGAGAGCAGCTCGAGGCCTGGAGCTGTGGGATGGGGACATTTTGTAGCAGATTTTGATGGTTTGATGAGAAGATAATTGGAGTACTGGAGGGGAGAGAACCCTGAATCTGATAACTAGGAGCATAGCTTGTCAGGTTTCCTGAGCTTGCAGCAGGGAATGAGACGAGTTGAGGCGTCACAATATTATTCCGAATTGGCTCTTGTTTGATTGTTATCGCGTTGAGCAGCTTGGGTTGGGAGACAAGATTGTTTTGAAGATTCTGAGTAAACTGTCCCTGTTGCAATACCGGGACCATCCCATTGTTCGGGATTTGTTGAAAATTTAGTTGGGCCGGGTTGGAAACTGAGTTGTTTTGTTGATTTTGCTGGAGGAGGGCTGTAAAGCTCTGTAGATTGTTGAGCAGGGTTCCCTGATTGTTGACCCCTCCTAGGGTACCTAGAAATTGCCCCCCGGCACTGAGTAAAGAGATTGGACTGCCCATCAATTGCAGCGGAATGCCGGATTGAACAATCTGAACCAAAGGATAATTCGGACCAAGGAAGGATTGTTGTTGTTGAATGATATGTTGTTGTTGTTGGTTAATGTTGTGGGACGGTTGTATGATTATCTGTTGAGCTTGTCCTGCTGGAACGGGAGGGAGAAGGATTTGTTGAACCTGGTTTCCATTCTCAGGTGGGATAAGACTATTGGCGGATACTGTCACGGATTGGATGGATTTGGTTTGAGCAAAACTTTGAGAATTAAATTGGACAGAGCTAGATATTGGCTTGGCTTGGGTAGTGGTCACTGTAGCAGGGACAGAAGTTGTGACTAGAGAAACCATGAGCTCTAACTCCGGGGGGCCGGGATAATCAAAACTATCCGAACTGTTTTCAGAAATCCGTCCTAGTTCGGGGGAGGGGGAACCCCCCCTTTCACTATTCGAGCAAGCTCCCTTGCTCTCGGCCCCTGAACTGGTCACATTGACACTTAATGGTTGAAAATTTGTGTCCTTGCAAGAGCCTGATTTATAGGTTTTACTGGAGGAGTATTCTTGCTCACGCCGGGGAGACGCAATCTTGAGAAGCCCCTGACTAAATTGGGGCAGAGTTCTAACAGCCTTCTTTTCATCTGATTCTTGGGTTTCCGGCTTCAAGGATTTATTGGGTTCCTTCACAATATCAGGCTGAGGCAGGGTTTCAGAGTCGGATATATCACTGTTCAAGATATCCAGACATTTCTGTAGAATATCTGCTGTAGGACCAGGTTTCAATCTAGTATCCGGAGTATTATAGCCTGTGCTCGGACTAGGACACTGAGAACTATCGGGAGAAGAATCTTCCGACTCCGAAGAAGAAGAATCTAGATCGGATTCTGTAATACCAGCGTAGAGATCAATCTTTGAACTCTTGGTTTTGATTTCATGTTTTACTCCGAGCTTGTTCTTGAGAAAGGAAAGAGATGATATTAGATTCAGTGACATTTTCAAACTCGTCACTTGTCACGAAACCAGGAGCACACCGGAGCAAGGTATCGATTCACCTCAATAATTCAATAATTCATAATCCAAGGAGAGAGATAACTAACTAAACTTATCAGCTGCTTTTCAATGTTTAAACAAGTTTTTATGAATGAAAACAGAGGTTTACGTAGCACTTGTTAATCTTGTGAACTGTGTGTCACCTGCACGGGTTCGTCTACTCCGCACACTGTCTAATCACATATTCAGGAGTATAAAGAGGATATTTAACTGTGTCACAACATCTGTAGGACGGATCCAGTAAGACTGAGCAGGGGGCCCCCAACCCTCCCCCTAAATCCAGGATTAAATACTCAGTCCAGGTTCTGGTGGATAAACCAGAGATATATTCTGTTTCTAGGTTCTACGTCTAGGTTGAGAAAGAACTAGGTTCACTGGATGGATTTCTGATATGTATATTGTCTAATATATATATACTGCGCTGTGTTCAACACTACTCTTCTCCTTCCATCATCCCTTCACTCTCAAACCCACGCTGAAACTGGACGCTCGGGATATCTGGGTGAATTGTTGGCGGCGGTCTCACCCACCCCCGTCTGAACAGAAACACGAAAACCCTTTTTATTTTTTTCTGTTCATGATTATTGATAATAATTAAAAAATGGTATTTTGTGTTTTCTAGATTTATCATAACTAGGCGTTTATTCGCGCCCATCTTCTATTTAAATTGTGAACATGTTCTTTTTGTTTACATTTTAAAACAAAGAAGAAACAAATTTTGCGGATTTTCAAGAATTTAAATTTTTTTACAAATTAAAAACCTTTAAAACACATTTTTAAAATTTTTTTTTTTATCATTCATAAACCTTCCCTGTGGTCACGTGATGTCCCACAAAAAATTTGGGCCCGATCGGTTCAGCCGTCTTGACGTTTATTGGATACAAACAAACAGACAGACAAACAAGCCAAATTTATATAGATAGAAGATAGAAAGAATCAGAATGAAACAGGTCTTTAATCATTTTTGTTCTTTGTGGCAGATCATCTCCCATTAAACATTTTTTACTTGTAAAGTTGTAAGTTCTTGAGTTACATACCTCTATCCTTGCTTCGGAAGTTCTATCCCCCCTCCCCCCACTAAAAATCGTCCATGTTAATGTACATATTCTCCCCCCTTCCTTGCTACCGATTTCTCTAAATATATGAAATATATAATATTTCTTCACAAATAAGTTATATTGATCCCTTCAGCACCTGGTTTCTCCAATATAGTTCCTAGATTCCATTCTATTTATGTAAAATACGTCTCAAGTTTGTATTTATTTATGTGACAAAACTTTGTATAATCTAATTGTTTCTCCCTCACGTTCCCTCTCTCCATTATGATATTAGAACTGGGGAGAGTATACAATGCACCCGGAGAATATGTTCGTTCTTCGGAGAAACTAAATTTTGCCCTGAATCAGAAAAAAACCGGATCATTGCATCATCCTTAGGGTGTTGAAGATTCAATAAGTTCCGAAAGTCTAAATTGAAAGCATGAGAACCTATCCGCTATCGAATTGTAAAAAACTAAAATCGTAATTTTATAAAATTGATTCTTATCTATATAATTTCCTGTCTACATGGGGGTGGGGGAGGGGGGGGCAAATTAATGGATTTCAGCCGAAAAAAAACTAGAACTGTTCAATAAACAAAACCTTACTCATTAATCACGAAAAATGTATATACCTTCATAAGCTAACAATTAAACCCTTCATATGAGTGGATAGNCTATATTTATCCATCCAGCTCATCCCATCCTACTCTCCTATATTTATCCATCCAGCTCATCCCATCCTACTCTCCTATATTTATCCATCCAGCTCATCCCATCCTACTCTCCTATATTTATCCATCCAGCTCATCCCATCCTACTCTCCTATATTTATCCATCCAGCTCATCCCATCCTACTCTCCTATATTTATCCATCCAGCTCATCCCATCCTACTCTCCTATATTTATCCATCCAGCTCATCCCATCCTACTCTCCTATATTTATCCATCCAGCTCATCCCATCCTACTCTCCTATATTTATCCATCCAGCTCATCCCATCCTACTCTCCTATATTTATCCATCCAGCTCATCCCATCCTACTCTCCTATATTTATCCATCCAGCTCATCCCATCCTACTCTCCTATATTTATCCATCCAGCTCATCCCATCCTACTCTCCTATATTTATCCATCCAGCTCATCCCATCCTACTCTCCTATATTTATCCATCCAGCTCATCCCATCCTACTCTCCTATATTTATCCATCCAGCTCATCCCATCCTACTCTCCTATATTTATCCATCCAGCTCATCCCATCCTACTCTCCTATATTTATCCATCCAGCTCATCCCATCCTACTCTCCTATATTTATCCATCCAGCTCATCCCATCCTACTCTCCTATATTTATCCATCCAGCTCATCCCATCCTACTCTCCTATATTTATCCATCCAGCTCATCCCATCCTACTCTCCTATATTTATCCATCCAGCTCATTCCATCGTACTCTCCTATATTTATCCATCCAGCTCATCCCATCCTACTTTCCTATATTTATCCATCCAGCTCATCCCATCCTACTCTCCTATATTTATCCATCCAGATCATCCCATCCTACTCTCCTAAATTTTTCCATCCAGCTCATCCCGTTCTACTCTCCTATATTTATCCATCCAGCTCATCCCATCCTACTCTCTTATATTTATCTGTTCCACTGGAATCTAGGAAGGGATTATACTTCAGGAATCTAGGAGAGGATTATACTGCTGGAATCTAGGAGAGGATTGTACTGCTGGAATCTAGGAAGGGATTACACTGCTGGAATCTAGGATTATACTGCTAGAATGTGTCGGAAACTTAAAGGAAAATAAACTTTAAGAAATTCATGTGTGTGCAGTGCCGGTAGGGTCTAGATTTTATTCATCTTTAAACCAAATCAACCATGCAGGTTTTTGGATCAAGAAAATAGTTGGAACTCTAGGAGGACGGGGGGGGGGGTAAGGGAAGCAGGGAAGAAAGAAGGAATAAATATAGTTTTGTTAGGAAGAGTGTAGTTCTTTTGTAGAATAAAATCCATGAATTTGGAAGCTTTCTGAGACAAAATCAAGTGATTTTCACAATTTGCCTCTGTTTTTGATCTGAAAATTGCAATGTAATGTAAAAGAAGGCTCTGTAATATTACAATGTAATGAAATAGTAGGCTCTAATATTGCAATGTAATGTAGAAGAAGGGTCTGTTATATTACAATGTAATATAGAAGAAGGGTCTGTAATATTGCAATGTAATGTAAAAGTAGACTCTGTAATATTGCAATGTAATGTAAAAGAAGGCTCTGTAATATTACAATGTAATGAAAAATTAGGCTCTAATATTACAATGGAATGTAGAAGAAGGGTCTGTAATATTACAATGTAATGTAGAAGAAGGGTCTGTAATATTGCAATGTAATGTAGAAGTAAGATGGGGAGGAGGGAGGGGTAGGAATGGGAGGGTACTGTGTCATATCTTCTTAAATATTCATGAGTGCACTCATTGTATCACCTGAACCTGGAGAATCCTAACCTTCTTTATACAATATTATCCTGAATCCTAAACTTCTTTATACAATATTATCCTGAATTCTAACCTACAGGACGCTATATAAGTATGATATTTCATCTCATATTTTTTAAACATAATTACATATTGATAGCAATATTTATCAAAACATGGTAGATAATTAAAGCACTAAAACTTAAACACCATCAGATTAAATCGTAACCTTCCATCATTTACAGACACTACATGACCTTAAGACGGTTTCAACTTGTTCAACACCTGCATTTTACTTGAACTCATTTATTATTTAGATGTAAACTGTTTCTACGGCGCAAGTCGCAAGTTTTGTTGGATTTATTAAGATCGCGTGTCTAGCGTATTAGGTTTTAATTTATATTTTCTTCTATTCAACTAAACAAATGATTAGACAGAGTAAATGATTAATAGTTCCGAGTTCCTCTTAGAATAATAATTAGGGATAAATTTGAAATCTTGATGATGCTTTCATATTAATCCTCGCTTTGTCCTTATCACACCACCCTTATATAATAAAAACATTTCCTTTCTTGATCCCTCAGCACCAAACATTCTCACACATACGTATGTGGATTGAAAAGACTGACGAGACGCTTATTTCTCCGATATATCTGATTTATACGTAACTCTGTAGAGTAGAGATATTGAATACCTTACACCATGAGACATAGATAGACATATATTTAGACAGGCACGAGATATAGTTAGACAGAAAATTGAGAGAAAGATAAAATTTTGTATATAGATATTTATGGACTATTAACTATAGATGAAAATGAATTTGCAAACTATTATTAGGTCCAAGGAGATATTGAATTGAAGGAGGGGGCGATAGGGTTTCCGTACACTTTGCTGTGACGTTTTTGGACTGCTCAATATCTCCTTGATTAGGTCTAACTATATTTGCTTTTACATACAATAAATAAAAAGTTTTACCCTGTAGTTTGATACAAGATAAAATTCACAAATTTGAACCAGAGCTAAACCAAATATTTCAAAGATAAACGCTGCTTAAAAATTAAATTCCTTCCCGGGAAGGAATGGACTTTCGAAGATGTATGCGCCAATACTAGGAATTTGCACAGATTATTTGCACTTCAGGGGGTTGGAATAAAACTGGTTCAGGGGTGTTGGTAAAAAGGATGGAATTTACAGCGAAGAGTTAATAGAAGGTTGAAGGACGGAATGGATGGTAGTATTTGGAGCAAATATACAGGTCAACATCAATACAGTGACGGGTAGTTAAATTGACGGTTTGGAAGTACAATAAAGTGCGTACCAAAGAAAAAGTTTAAAGAGATAAGTGTAAAGGGAGAACATATGAAGTGAAAAGTGTTAAAGTGAGAAGTGTAAAGTGGGAAGGTGAGAAGTGTAAAGTGAGAAGTGTAA